CTCTAGTCTCTTTCTTTTCCAGTCTCCCACCCAATCCTCTCAGGTACCCTTTCGGTAAGCTCCTAACTGACAAGGAAGCACTCGGTTGGTGCGTGGGTCACATCAACTGATGAGGAGAGATCAGGGTAGCCAGTAATGAGAACTGATGAAAGCATTGCAAAAATTTGTGGAATTGTGCATCAATTTTATCGGCTGACTGAGAGAAGCATAGAAGACCAAGTAAACATCGATAGAGAAACAGATAAGGAAATCTTAACTGAAAATCTTGGCATGAGAAAAAAAGTTTCCAAAGGAGCTCTTGCCTCACGACAATGCACCAGCTCACACGGCACTGTCTGTGAGGGAGTTTTTAGCCAGTAAACAAATAACTGTATTGGAACACCCTCGCTACTCACCTTATCTGGTCCCCAATGGCTTTTAGGACATCAAGGGTAATATGACGAGAGCTCTGATAGCCGTTCTAGAAGAGAGTCCAAAATTGCTTTGAAGGGTGGACTAGGCACTGGTGTCGGTGCATAGCTTCCCAAGGGGAGTACTCCGAAGGTGACCGTAGTGATATTCAGCAAACAAGCTAATGTCATTCACATTTACATATCAATCGGAACTTGCATTCCATATGTCATTTAAAAAAATTTTTTCTATCACTTTAGAACTCAATGGTCTCTCTAAAATTACTCCCTACAGTTCTTGAAGTGTGTGCCTCATTTTGACATACAATCATATAAGGCCTGCTTTGCTGTCTGACATGTTCTCAGAAAGACAAACATTGTGAACTATGTGTAGTGTACCTACTTTCTGTTTACACCTTCGTAACACCTCACAGGGGCTAGCACATGAATATTGAAAACCCACAATCACCTTTCTTCTGGAATCCAAGAATACATCTCTTTGCTTCTTGGCACATAACATCTTTGGAGTTGGTGACAACAGTACAACAAGTGAACCCATCCTTTTCATCAAAAGATGTGACTGACCACTTCTTCATGGTGTTACCTGAACTAGGAAATATTCATGTAACCTTTTAACTGTTCTGTGTTTGGTCAGTATTCCTCCACTTTTTTAAGGCATCCCAGCTGGTAGAAGAACGTGAAGTTATGCAGAATCTGAAAGTATTGTTCAAAGCTGCAGATGGCCAGCAGAACATTACTTTGACCTCCCACTTCTAAAATGAGAATTTTGTATCCTACTTCATTATTCATTCACTCAACAAAATATTAGGTGTCTATTCTGTGTCAGGCAGGTATAGGGCTACGGCAATGAATACACATTACATGTGTTTGTTTATAACCTAATGATATTTTATACAATTTAGGAGTAGAAAAACAAAAACAAAAATATTCCCGAATCCAAGAACAAAACTGATAATCAAGATGCGCCAATTATTGCTGCAAACACTACCAGTGCTGCTATTAGACTTCCTGGGAAGATGTGTGCTCCAGTTTGAGAAACAGTCTGGCTAATTCACAACACACAAAGCCAACAGTAAAAGTTAGTATTTACTCTGGGTGCAAATACTTGGGAGTATTATTAGAACTAACGAGCTTGTCTCATTTCCATATCATTAGTTGCTGCCGAATGCTGAAAATGACATTCTGAAATGACAAAGGTGGAAATCCACTTCAATACCTGCAGGAAATGCATAAAACTTGACTTTAAAAAATCATGGGTGAGGGGGAGGTGGAATTATTATTGACACTTATAAGTCAAGTCTTCATTGACCTCATTGTTTTTCTTATCCTTAATTGAACTGCTCTTTTAGATTCTGATGCATCTGCTAATGAGCTTCAAAAAAGATCTCTCCTTAGGAAAAGCAATACAGTAAAATCTTGGATTGCGAGTAATGTGGTTTGCAAGTGCTCTGCAAGACGAGCAAACATTTCTAATACATTTTAACTTGTTAAACAAGCGATGTCTTGCAATATAAGTAGTTTGTTTCCAGAACGAATTATGCTTGCAAACCAATTACATTTTAAAGTGGTAAACGAGCGATGTCTTGCAATATGAGTAGTTTACTTCTGGAATGAATTATGCTCGCAAACCAAGGCATTACTGTATCTCACAAAACACAAACTTTTGGACTTCTCTCTGCATAGAACATGTTATATGCTGAACATATTAATATAGTTAAAATGTCCATATTACCCAAAGCAATATACAGATTCAATGCAATCCTTATCAAATTACCAATGGCATTTTTCACAGAACTAGAATAATCCTAAAATTTATATGGAACCATAAAAGACCCCAAATAGCCATGGTAATCCTGAGAAATAGGAACAGTGGGAGGTATTATGCTACCTAATATCAAATGATACTACGAAGCTATAGTAATCAAAACAGCATGGTATTGGCATAAAGACACATAGATCAATGGAACAGAATAGGGACCCCAGAAATCTATATCTATGTGTTCATTTATTCTATGGCAAAGAAAGTAAGGATTTACATTGAGGTAAAAACAGTCTATTTAATAAATGGTGCTGGGAAAACTGGACAGATACATGCAAAAAATGAAACTGGACCACCTCCTTATGCCATCTACAAGAATAAACTCAAAATGGATTAAAGACTTAAATGTAAGACCTGAAACCATAAACTCCTGGAGGAAAATATAGGAAGTAAATTCTCAGACATTACCCTTAGTAATATTTTTACTGAAATATCCCCTTGGGCAAAGGAAATGGAAGAAAAAACAAACAAATGGGACTACATCAAACTAAAAAGTTTTTTCACAGCAAAGAAAACCATCAACAAAAGGGCATCCTACTAAATGGGAGAAGATATTTGCCGATACATCTGAAAAGAGGTTAATATCCAAAATTTATTAGAAAACTCATACAACTCAATACTAAAAACATCAACAACCCAATTTAAAAAAGGGCAGAAGACATGAAGAGACATTTCTCCAAAGAGGACATACAGATGGCCAACAGACATATGAAAAGATGCTCAACATCACTAGCCATCAGAGAAATGCAAATAAAAAACCACAATGAGATATCACCTCACTCCTGTTAGAATGGCTGTCATCAATAAATCAACAAACAAGTGTTGGCGAGGATGTGGGGAAAAGGGAACCCTGGTGCACTGTTGGTGGGACTGCAAATTGGTGCAGCCACTATAGAAAACAGTATGGAGGTTCCTAAAAAAATTAAAAATAGAACTATCTTATGACCCAGCAACTCCACTTCTGGGTATTTATCCAAAGAAAACTAAAACACTAATTGGGAAAAATATATGCACCCATTTACTGCAGCGCTATTCACAATAGTCAAGACATGGAAACAACCGAAATGCCCATCAATAGACGGTTGGATAGACACTGTGGTACATTCATGCAATAGAGTATTATTCTGCCATAAAAAAGAATGAAATCTTACCATTTGCAACAACATGGGTGGACCTACAAGATATTATGCTAAGTGAAATAAGACTGAAAAAGACAAATACCATATGATCTCTTACATGTAGAATCTAAAGAACAGAATAAACGAGCAAACAAAATATAAAGACTCAGAGATACAGAGAAAAAACTGATAGTTGCTAGATGGGAGGGGGATTGGGGATGGGGGAGAAGGTGAAGGGATTAGGAAGTACAAATTGGTAGTCACAAAATAGTCACAGGGATGTGAAAAACAGTATGGAAAATATAATCGATAATGTTGCAAAGATTATATAGGGTGTCAAGTGGGTACTGGACCTATCGGTGGGATCACTTTATAGATTGTGCAGAAGCCTGACCACTGCGCTGTACCCCTGAAGTTGATGTAGAATAATATTAAATGTCAACTATAATTAAATATATATGTATTTAAATATATACATACATATATACATATATATATATATATATATATATATAGTTATGGGATGCAAAGTATAGCATAGAAAATATAGTCAATGGTATTGTAATAGCTGTGTACAATGTCAGAGGGGTAGTAGACTTGCAGGGGGTAGATTTCACTTTGTGAGGGGTGTAAATTGTCCAATCATTATGTTGTTTTGTACACCTGAAACAAAACAAAAAAAACAGAAATGCTGAACTTGACAGCCATTACCTTTTATTGGTCTAAAATCAAGGCTGCGAAAAGTATCAAATTCCTCAGAGATAGCTTTGTCTTCAATTATTTTATTTTAATCATAAGATCTGACTCCAAAAATAAATGTGGGGCTAATATTGCTGCGCTTGTGGGTATGGTATACGTACTTTTGAATGGAGGCAGCCATTTGCAAAATCACAAATCATTTCTCATTGTGGTTAAGATTCAATCCTCCAAAATTGCAGTGACTGGCTAACTTGCATGAAGCCTGACTCTCTCCTACCTGGAATCCCCAAGTCAATCATTCCAAATTATTATTATGATTATTATAATTATTATTATTATGAAGGTCTCGTAAGTGCACCAATGTGGCTGTGTGGCTCTCTTGTTGAGTATCCAATCCCAAGAATTCAGACCCCGTCAGGCTGAGTAATTAGAAAAATAGGGGAATATCACAACATATAGACTTCACAACGTAGGACAGTGGTTCTCAATGCACTAGTCCCCTGGCATGAGATTTCACTATTCTAAAATCCAGACTGAGGCTCAGTGTTTATTAACCTAACTGAGAAGGGCCTAAAGTGCACACTGTTTCATAATTCCACAGATGGTTTGGATTCAAATACTTCCACAGGACTAAAGTCCATATTACTCCTGACTATAATATGGGCTTTTGGTGTGGTTAAGACTTAAATTTATCATGCTTGAAGGCTAGAATGCAGAAGGTTTAATGCTCTAATCACCTCAGTCTTCTAATACTTTATATGAATGCCAACACTTAGAATCCAAAGACCACCATAGAAATTCTGAGTTATTCCAGTTCCTTGTATATAAAACCACACCTGAGCAACAGCAGCAGCCTATCTTCAAATCTAGAGTGATAGGCACATCTCTCTCCAACACTAAATGATTTTAAATATTTGACCCTCTTCCCACCAATAAGAGGAATTGAACACTCTATATTTGAAATGTTAAGGTCAGTTTATTAAGTTCAATGATGAAAGGTATCAGAAGAATATTCTCCTGAAAATTATTTTTTCTTAGAAAAAAAGAAAGGAACATCAACACCCTCTCAGCATAGCCACAGATGCTGTGGCAGTGATGCCTCTCTGCAGGCAGGACAGTCCATTAGTCGGTCAAGTCGCTCTCGGGGTCAGCAGGACTGTAGTCGGGATCATCCTCATCATCCTCTAGCTCCAAGTCATCCATTTCCTGGAACAACGACTCATCTACCTCCACACTGTTTCCAGCTGCAAAAGACAAGATTTCACCTTCAGTCCTACAGTAAGGAATCAAAGATACAACTACTGGCAGCACCAAACAGAAACTTCTACCTGTGCCTGGGAGGTGCAAGTGATGAAACCCTGAACTACTACTGCAAATGACACCAACAATGGCCTGTATTGGTCAGCAGAGACTCACGCATTTTAAGAACAACTTCATAGTCTAAAAAATCCAGTTATTAGAAAGCCTTGTAGAATGAATTATTTATAATGTGGCATGTGATAAGTTGAAGACAAAGATGATATGTCCTGGTTATACAAAGTTGATTATCACTGACCATGGCCCCATACCAAAATACAATAGTGGCAGATATGTACATCATTAAAGCTCAACTATACTTGTTATTTAATTGATAGATTTAACTTGATCTTCACTGTCTTCCAGTTCCCCTCGTAACCAATGGTATGCCTTTCCAAGATTCCAAGTTATCTAAGCACTATAGGAAGCAACACCCAGGCTTTGCATTAAACATCTTCACTCTTCCTTCAGTTTGTCTGAAGTGCATAAAGGTATGGTATTACAGTGCTCTTAATTTCACCCAAAATTGTTCATCTTCCTCCCCCCTCAGACTCTAGCCCACTGACATTCAATTCAATGAAAATGAGTCTTGCTTCATATGTATGAGCAGTTCAGTAATAAAATACAATTTGCCAAGTCCAGGCCAAAAAATGACTGAGTGTCTGAGATAGCGAAGCCTTCACAGAGCAGATGACCTCTGAAATATCTTCATGATAAATTTGAATCCACCAAGAAGCAAGGCGGACAGAATGAAGCAAGCCTGGATAGAAGCCTGGGCAAAGGCAGAGAGAAAAGCTTAAGACAATGAGCACTTCTAAATGGAACAGAAGATTCTTGAGGAAAAATACCTGGAGATAACAAAGACTAGACTGAAGAACTGTGTAGGTCAACCTTGTCCTCGAAGCAGCAGAGAACCATCAACGGATTTTAAGGAGAGAAATGTCATGATTAAATCAGGGTTTAGAAACACTACCACAGAGGTGGTGACTGTAAAGTAGGTTAGGTCACTAGAAGGAGGAAGAGACTGATGCAGGGAGACAATTTAAGAAGCTACCACAAAAGTCCAGGTGAAAAATGATAAATCTTCAAATCAGGAAGAAAGAGTTGAGAAGACATTTCAGTGGCAGAATCAACAGACAGCCTTTGGTAAGTTATTGGCTTTGAGGAGATATCTGATGCACTACAGAGGGCAAGAAGAATGACTGAAGATAGTAAAAGTTCTAAAGTGCAAGAGAGAGTGAAACAAAGGTTTTTGGATCTAGAATTTCTCAACAAAATAGGAGATCACAGGAGCCTAAAGTGAGAAGCGGGTAGATGAGGACATCCTTGCTGGCTTTTGTTTTTTTGAGACTATAAAAATCTTGGTGCCGGAATAGAATAAGATGCACATAAAAAATGTGGACTGTCAGTAAGGGCACAGCTAAGGTTAAGAAGCATGATCTAACAGTGGGCCACATCAACACTGCCTCTTAGCCTTCTCCAGCAGATGGTCCTGGAACAAGGCTGAAAGTACAAACGCTAGAGGATCCCCAGCTGGCAACACGGGCATGACAGAAGACTAACAAACGAAGTGCAGAATTCTGTGAGTATGTAGGGTGCTATCGGAGGTGTGACAGTATGAAGCACAGTTTAAGAAACAGACTACAGGGCCGGCCAAGTGGCGCAATGGTTGGGAACTGGCTTGGGGCGCCAGAGGGCCCCGGTTTGGATCCCACATATGAGGGCCAGTGACACTGCCCTCTACAGCTAAGATGCTGAACAACAGCTCAACCTGGAGCTGGGC